CATTACCTTTACAGGTGGCTTACCTTCTAAAATAAAAAGCCACTGTTTACTGCAACCTGAAATATTGATGGGCATCCTAGCTTTTTGCTCTGGTTATCTAGTGAGCAACCTGATAAAAAAGTATTTCGAACCCTGGTCAACTTAAGGTAAGTCCACCTATCATTGCAGACTTGATTAAAAATGACTCATCTCTCCCCTCACAGGTGCGTGATGTAGAGGCCATGAACAGGCGTTTCAAGACAGACCTGCACAACTGTGTGGCCTACATCCAGGACCCCAAGATGCTGAAGGAGTCCATCAAACAGCTGTACGCTACATATGTACAGGATGACACGGTAAGAACATGTTCCTCTGTATCTTAGTGGACTTTTCTTGGACAAATAGCAGGGCTGGAAATACTGGGTGCATGTGCACCTTAGTACACCAAAACTTGCAGCTGTGCACCCAATTCTTTTCCGTGGGTGCTATTTTTGTACGTTCACATAATGTAAAGATATTTTGATGCTTATTGTATATTCTGAAGTTAGCGAAAAATGATAAAATCTTTTTTGTAGTACTTGTTTAAGATTTTGAGGTTAGAATTTGGATTCATCAGAATTAAGAATTTTGGGTTTTGCTGACATTTTACTTTATTTCATATGGTGCACCCAAATACACTCTGAAATAGATGTACTAAAAGCTGATTCAACTGTTTGGCATTATCTATACCTTGTATGGATGACTGTCTAACAAGTGATGCTTAACGAATCACATACATTAATTTAGTCCCAATGAAAGACAGCAGACATATTTTGAAGTCTCTGTCCCTAAACTTGTAGTTGATGTGTGATTTGCTTTGAGGCATGAATAATCATAATTAACAGTTTGATTTTTATCGCTGCATTTGTCTGTTTGCAATACTGAGTATCTGTTTTCCTTCCATGCTGCGTAATAAAAGGAAGTGCGTCCGTCACAGAAGGTAGGACCTCGGGCCACGTGTGTGTGAAAGTGCTGCACATTCCACAGTGTGCCAATCATAATTAATGTCATCACTCGAGAACACAGAGTGCCCAATAATAATGTCATGTCACCTTAAACCTCTGCCACTCATAATAATGTCACTCCATACCAATGCTGCCAATCATTGTCACTCAACAAAAGTGACAATCATTGCAATGTCACTTATATAAGACCACAGAGTGCCCAATCCTAATGTCACCACACACCACATAATTCCATCTCCCTTGCAGGATAATGGAACCAATCATCCAGTGCACTCATTCACCATAATACATCACAGAGACTTGCGGTGACACACTGTGTTTTTACACTGCTTTTAATCCACCAGAAGTGCTCTGAAAGGCAAGATCTGATAAATTGAGAAGCCTGGCAGCCACTCCCCAAAAGCACCCACCAAAAATAGAAGGTTTTTCACAGGTTGCTCAGAGGAAAATATTATGCTGCAAATCCTTCCTCATGGTTTGTTTGACTACTGTGCCTTTATACATGTACATCGGTGAAGGTTAGACATCCAGGTAATAAGACAAAAAACAGTTACTCAAGCAACTGGGCATGATTTGGGAAATGGTCAGACATTTCAGGTAGCATCCACTACCTTTCATCAGTGACACTGGGGACTTACAGTATAAACCTGTCAGAAAAGCAGCTTTATAAGTACGAACTATTGATTGATATGCAAATAAGTGAAGACAATTTTTTTGCTGTGCCTTCAGATTGAATCTGCGAGCGTGGACGCTGACATCCAAAAGGAGTACGCCCGCCAGCGGGAACACCTGGAACGCAGCGTGGCATCGCTGAGGAAGAAGCTGTCCAAAGACACGGAGATTCACCGCGCTGACAACGTCCGTATCATGCAGGTACGTCATCCAATGTCCTTCCTGTAACAGTCTTGGCTTTCATACTATCATGAAAGTTCATCTGTGTTGGAATGTAGCTACATGTTTCAAGTTAAAACTTAAGATCCAACACAAAGAAGTTCTCTTAGTACCTAGAGCTTAGTCTCAACTAGTCTACTGAGGAAGACCAGAGTGACTGATCGAAAGCTCTAGGTGAGAGAACTTCTTTGCGTTGGATCTAAAGTTTTTATCTTGGGCTCTTGTTTATGCAGTCTTGTGTTACCTGGTGATTTCTTGAAACTCACTAAAAAATTATGCTGTCATTTGGTTTTTGGCTCTTTGCTATTTCCCCACAACTCTAAGTGTCTTAAGTTTACATATTTTTTTCTTTAAAGGAAAAGCCGCTATAATTGATTGAGAGATTTGTGCTTAATTGTCTCTGGTTCATGCATGACCCCTTGACTAATAAAATGGTATTGTAATCACACTGTAACAAAATGAACAACACATTATGGTACATTTACTTATTCCAGAGAATTAATAATAATCCACCATCTATTTGCCCATGTAGGAGAACGTGCTGCTGATCAAAGAGATCAACGACCTTCGGCGTGAGTTGAAGATTGCGAGGACACAGGTTCACGACCTTGAAGCCACTCTGGGCATCAACAAGCAGAAACAGAAGAAGGAAATCCCAGATACAGCAGGTAGGTCTGATGGTGGGAGTGCAAACTAGATACAGGGTCTGTTTGGCTCCCAATGTTAGTAAAACAGGGAAGTTTTTAATAAATTCAGTCGTCGAAACTAGATAAGGTAACATTTGCAAAGCAAATTGCATAATGTTTACCTTCACATGGTCTGACCTAACAAACTATTGCTCTGTTTATTCTTCCTCAAACACATTCATCTATATGGCGAAAAGCCGCTCCAACTCTGTCCTGTGATTACTACATAATGTAACCCAACACCACAGGGTGTCTGCTACAGCACCAGTCACCATGGTGACAGACCTCTAGTCAAGGTCATTGACCTTATGTGTTTGGAGAAGAAGGAACAGCAAAGATAATATGTTTTCCTTCCTTGAACGTAAACATAATGAATTCCTCACTGTTCATACAGCATCAAGTATCACTAGCTACATTTGGTAAGATCTCACACCAATGTTTTTAAGTCTCATCCCAACGTTTTCTTTATTTCAGCGACCTTCACCACCGTGAGCAGTGCCCAGAGCATGGGGCGAACACAGCGGGCAAACGACGACCTGAACCGCATCATTGACATGCAGAAATCTGAAATCAAGAAGCTCCGCTTCCAGGTCAAGGACTTGGAGGAAAAGGTCAACTACAGGCCGGGGTCAGGGAGCAAAGTTCAACTTCCACCAATGGGAGCTGTGGTGGAGAAATTGTAAATGACGAAGAATTACATGGAAATATTTCGGCCTTAAAAAGTCTAGGCTGACTTCTCTGGTTTCTCTGTATATAATAATGATTTTATGTTCAGGTTCTTAGACTATTTGTAAAGAGTTGCTGCACTTGACATGAATTTCCAAGAAGTAATCTATATATATTTGCAGTGTTTTGACATGGTTGGGAGGTAGACACGTGTCATTGAATTCTATCTAGTAGTATTGTAAAGAAAACTCTGACAGTGAATTCTTGTAATTTTTGTATTGCATATATCATTCTGAAATAAACTGAATACCATTCAACAGCACAAGTTTTCAGCACGAAAACATAGTAAGAGTCATCCTTTCTATAACTGCATTTCAATATGACATTTATTTCACTGCCTTTCCCTACTTTTAATAGTGGGAACACCGATCTACATAATATCGTTTGAGTTCATACAAGAAAACTTGAGGCATGAAACAGGGATATTATTCTGTTCTATTCCTAAGCCTCCTTGATAAAGCAAAAGAGGATTGAAGCATTGAATCTTAAGCACAGTCACTGTTATTGCTTCTTTACAATCATCCACACCAGTTTCCTCACCAATGATCAAATGAATTACTGGAAAATGAAAAATCTTAGACTATAACTGCTTCCTTGTCATGACGTTACACATTTTGTGCAACCTTTGCAAATAAATCAATGTTAGGTAAGCATTTTCACCAATGATTTCTGTATGGCTTACTTAAAACTTTAGCACTCCATGCATGTACATGTACCTCTCAAACTGCATTTTAGGTGTAACAAACACTACACTTTTCTCTACAACCATGGTCAGAACACAGGACAATTCTAAGGTAACACCAGAAAAAAACTTAGGCCACACCAATTTAATTTGTTGGTTTTCGGATTCGCCTCTTCGTTTTTTTCTGATTTGCAAAAAAAAAAAAAATTTGATTCTGGTCCTGAA